CTCCTTTCAGGTTTGTCAGTTTTTGCTTCATATATTTTGAAGGTCTTTTTAAAGTACATAAACATTTAAGAATACTATATCTTTGGGGGTAATCGAATCCTTTATTATGAAATAGTCTCTCTTTATTGCTGGTAATATTCTTTGTTCTGAAGTCACTTTGCCTCATATTAATATAACAACTCCAGCTCAATCTTTGGTTAATGTTTGCCTCGTATATCTTTTTTATTCTTTTACTTTTAACTCATCTTTGTATGCTTAAAATGGTTTTCTTACATACAGCATATAGTTTGATCTTGCTTTTTAAAAATCTAATCTGAAAATTCTGTCTTTAAATCAGTGTAATTAGACTATTTGCACCTAATGTGACTTACTTATATAGTTGAATTGATTGAAATCTACTATCTTGTGCATCTCTTCCTATTTCTTCCATTTATTATTTGTCTTTTTCATATTTTTTCCTGTATTTTGGGGGGACTAGTTGAAGAGTTTATAAATGATTACCTTTAGTGTCTACTATTGCTTAGTATTTGTTTCCTTTTTTAGTTGATAACCTAAGGTTTACCAAATATACCTTTATGTAATGAGTCTACTTGCAAATAATATATACTTCATATGTAGCGTAAGGACCTCACGACAGTATAATCCCGATTTTTCCTTCCCATACTGTTTGCTAACGTTATTAATTCTTACATTTGAAAAGGCTCTATATATTACTACTATTATACACCAGAAGTTTGCAAGCATTTTCTGTGAATGACCAGGTAATAATAAATATTTTTAGTTTTATGTGCTACACTCTCTTAGCAACCATTCACCTCTGCCATAGTAGTGTAAAGGTAGCCATAAACAAGATGTAAACAAGAGTGTAGAAGACTTATCTTGTGGAGGTCAAGAGCTGGTTCATGAGCAATATGTTGCTGACCACAGCTTTATATAGTAGGTCCATCTTATAAAACAATTATTTTTTTTAAAGAGTATTAATTTTACATTCATTTATTGTATTTCCAATGTTTCCCATTTTTTTAGAGTAAATCCAGTTGGATTTCTGTTATCACATTCATTCAGCCTCAGAAATTTACTTTAACATATCTTGTAGTACTGATCTGCTTGCAATGAAGTTTTTACATTTTGTTTGTATCTTTTATTTTGAATGATGTTTCATCTGCTATGGAATACTCATTGAGCAGATTTTCGGGGTTTGTTTTGTTTTCTTTTGGAACTTTAAAAATGTTATTCCATTATCTTCTGTCTTTCATGATTTCTGATAAGAAATATGCTGTAATTTTTAAAAATCTTTTTTGTATCTCGATTTTCCTGTATCTGTCTTTTTCCTCTAACTTTCTATGCAGTTTTTTTTTCTTGGTTTTTTATTTTTAGCAGTTTAAATATGATATGTTTAGTTGTTGTTTTTTGGTATTTATCCTTTTCTGTGTTCTCCAAGCTTCTTGAATTAATTTCTTTGTATCTCTCATTAACTTTGCAAAATTTTTAGCTATTATTTCTCTACATGTACCTTTTACTTCTGATTTTCCAATTACATGTATGTTAGAACTTTGATATTTATCCCAGAGCTATTGGATGTGTTGTTTTCTTCTTTTCTTATTATGTTTATTTTACAGTAATTTCTTGTACTTGCTAATTACCTGACTCTTTGCTCAGCTCTGCTGAGTTTGTTCATGAGTCTGTTGAAGGCATTCTTCATGTCTTTTAATGTTTTTTCCATTTCTAGCATTTCTATTTATTTTAGTTTTCATCTTTCTGCTAGTATTTCCTGCATGTTAACTATATTTCTCATTAGATCTTTTAACATTTAATCTTAGTAATTTTAAAATTCCTTGTTCAATGATTCAGTGTCTGTTTCAGATCTGAGTGTGGGTCTGTTGATTGCTTTGGCAGTGCATTATTTTTCTTGCCTTTTTCATGCTTTGTAATTTTTTCAAATTGTGTCATCCTGTGTAGTATTTATGCCTGGAAATGGGCTTGCCTTCTTTTTATTAAGTCTTAGTTTGAAAGAATATTTGAGATGTTAGAAAGAAGCACTAAGTAAGTTCCCCATATATATGGGAACCTATCACAAGCTCTGTGGAGGCAAACATATGCAAATGTACTTATTTACTGTCTTCTTGTTATTATATGTTTTTTATAATCACTTTTGTGGGGAGGTTTTACTCTGCATAATGCATTCCCTCCTGTGTACTTTTTAGGACAGACTTTTAGGTTATGAACTGAATTTATTCTCATTTTACAAGTGAAAATTTAAGTACAAATAACTTACCTAAAGATAAACATGTATCAGTGACAGAATTGGGACTGGATTCTCCAAGCCTGTCTGATTTCATACCTCGTGCCTTAACCATTACCTTATTTAGAAGCATTACTTAACAGAAAATTATTGAGTATTAGTTATATTGAAAGTCCTGTGATAAGCACTGTGGAGGAATGACATCGTTATGAAATGATCTATATTTAATATGCTAATACTCTAAGAATGAACTTTAAAGTGTATCCCTTTTCACTAAGCAATTAGAATGGTAGAAATACACAATAGTAGATTTTATGTATAAATGATACTTGGTTGACATATTTTAGAAAGACCTTTCTGGTTACTGTGAAGGATTTATTAACATTTTAAATGCACCGAGCCTCCTCAGGAGTAAGAGCATCCTTAGCCTGGTTCCCAGGCCGTTACTAATTCAGAACTCATGAGTGACACAGTCCAAAAGATGTTATACAAAGATAAATTGGATTGTGGATCACAATATGGGGATATATTTCAACATGTATAAATGATAATTGATACAATAAAGCAACGGAAACACAATGATAGGATAAGGAAGAATAATGAATATTCTCCCCAATCTATTATTTCTTCAGCAAGGATAGGAAGGAAAATCACTGGACAAGAACAAGTTCGTAGGTAAGGTGCTTGATGAATTAGAATACTCTAGCAAGGCTGTCCAATAGAACTTTCTGTGATAATGAAAATATTCTATATCTGCACTTAGCAGTACAGTAGAAAATACTAGCCACTTGAAATTCGCTTTAAAGCTAAAGGACTTTCCAAGCATTGTCCACCTGGGATTTAATGCACTGATTTTGAGGGGTTATGCTTAGGGCAAACTGACTTCGTTGTTCAGCTCTGCCTTCACATTTTCATTTCATTTTAGATAGGTAATTCTTTGCTCTTTTTCGTTCTTTGGCTTTTGGAAATTTTTTGTTCCCATATTTTATAATTTGTTTTCACTAAGAATTTTGGTCTGAGTAACCTAATCTCCTGTTAGAAACAGGAATCTTGTTTTGTTTTTCATTTTATGGACCCTTGCTCTGCTCTTAATTTTCCTGAGCTCTATGGCATAATCTTTTGTATGTTTCTCCTTTATAATTTTTTTCTCACGTTCTTTTTCTCTTTTTTTTTTCAGGATTTTTTCATAGGTCCCATGTTGAGAAAATTTTTATTGTCACTCTTCATTGGTGTTCTTCCAATAAACTGGGAAAGTAGGCAGCTTGAATGTTTAATCAGTTGTCTGCAAACACTTAACTCATCAGTGATCTTTTTTCCTATATATGACTGGTCTCTTGGCTAGCCAAAAGCTTCCCTGAAGCCCTATGTATTATAGCTTCTTTTTTCTACTTCTTTGTGTTCTTGTTACTATTTTTATTTTCAGAGTGTATAGGGGACAGACTTTTTTTTCTGTTACCTTACTTAGAAATTGTTTTATTTCTCTAGATGGGACTGCTCTGTGCATGGCATGGTGACGACAAAGTTTGCCTTACAGTGTAGTTCTCTGCCAGTTTCTAACCTTGCATTTTCTGTATTTCCACATGCTTGTCTTTTGGTAAAACTGTGTTTTTCTCCCTGTCTTAAAGAGTCTGTTCTTTGATTTAGAAATTAGGACCATACTTTCAGTGGCCTTCTGCTTCTTTGTGTATGTAATGAGGCTTTGAATTAGTTGATTTCAAAGATTCCCTCTCCAGTTAGTAATTTTTTTTTGCAGGCTTATGTTTCTAAAACTTTATTTTTGTAGTTTGTCAGTTCAAAAGTAAGTAGGTAGTACAGGGATAAACTAATTTTAAAAACTTTCTTGAATCTTCTGTTGTATTGATTCTCACAAAAATCTGCACATGACTGTTTATAAGAGTTTTCTTTATAATTGACAAAAATTATAAGAAACCAAGATGTCTTCAGTAGATAAATGGACAAATAAACTGTGGTACATCAATATAATGGAACATTATTCAGCATAAAAAGAATGAGCCGTCAAGCCATAAAAAGACATGAATGAAACTTAAATGCGTATTTCTGAGTGTAAGAAGCCATTCTGAAAATGTTACTTTATTATTCCGCCTACATAATATTCTGAAAAAGCCAAAATAGAGACAGTAGAAAGATCAGTTACTTTCTAGGGGACTGAGGAGGAGTGGGTGGAGGAGGGATTAGTAAGTGGAGTACAAAGGATTTTGAGGACAGTAAAACTAATCTGTATGATACTGTAATGGTGGGGTCATGTTACATGACATGGTACATTTGCCAAAAGCCATAGAACTGTACAGTACAAATAGTGAACCCTAATGTAAACTGTGGTCTTTAGTTAATAATGATGTATCTACATTGGGTCATCAATTCTAATTTACCACGCTAATGCAAGATGTTAATATTAACAAACTGTGTGTCATGGGAGGATGGTGAAAAGGAGAGGAATAAATAGGAACTGTACTTTCTGTACAATTTTTCTGTAAATCTAAAACTTACTCTAGGAAGTAAAATATATTCATTAATTAAAAGATACTGATGCCCAATAAAAAGTTTTGAAGTATTGAATATTCAAAGTAATCAAATAACCATAAGTGGTATGTAAGTAAAGTAACAAAACAACATTGAGAATGTATTTATTTTTGTTGTTAACAGTTTAGTCCGTATTCTTCCTTTTTTAAAAAAACAATACCTGTAGTCATTTCTGTTCCTGCACTTACTGTTCCCTTCTTTTTGGTCATTGCTTTAGGTGTACTAGCCCTATCTTGGTACCCACCCAATTCAAATGATGAGAATGGACAACCTACTGATGACTTAGTACCAACTATTTTGGATAAAGCTCATAAATATAATCTAAAGGTATTTTATTTAACTTATTTTTATTAAGATGTAATTGACATATAATATTAGATTGATTTAAGGTGTTCAACATAATGATTTGATATATGTATATATTGTGAAATGATTATCACAGTTAGTCTAGCTAACTTCCATCACCACACATGGTTACAGTTTTTTTTTTCTTGTAATGACAATTTTTAAGTTCTATTCTTTTAGCAACTTTTAAATATACAATGCAGTATTATTAACTATAATTACCAAGTTGTACTTCACATCCTAGAGGCTTTGGTGTCAAATCCAAAAAAAAAATCATTGCCAATATCAATTTCAGGGAGCCTACTGCCTTTGTTTTCTTCTAAGAGTTTTATGGGTTCAGGTAGTATGCTTAAAGCTTTAATCCATTTTTAGTTAATTTCTTATTATGGTGAAAGATGGTGGTTCAGTTTCATTCTTTAGCATGTGGCTGCTCAGTTTTTCCAACATTTATTGAAGAGACTATCCTTTCCTCATTGTATATTCTTAGCTACTTTGTTGTAAATTAATTGTAGGTACTTGGTTTATTTCTGGGCCCTCTATTCTGTTACATTGATCTGTATGTCTTTTTATGACAGTGCCAAAGTATTTGACTACTATAGCTTTGTAATATAGTTTGAAGTCAGGGAATGTGATGCCTCCAGCTGTGTTCTTCTCAAAATTGCTTTGGCTATTTAGGCTCTTTTGTGGTTTCATACAAATTTTAGGATTGTTTCTTTTATTTCTGTGAAAAAATGCCTTTGCAATTGCATTGAATCTATAGATTGCTTTGGGTAGTATGGACATTTTAATAATATTAATTTTTCCAGTCTTGAATATGGGATATCTTAACATTTACTTCTGTTTCCTAAATGCCTTTCATTAACATCTTTATTTCAGTGTACAGATCTTTCACCTCCTTGGTTAAGTTTATTTCTAGGTATTTTAATCTTTTTGATGAAGTTGTCAATGGGATTGTTTCCTTAATTTGCCCATGTGAGTTCATTATTAGTGAATAGAAATGCAAGTGATTCTTGTATGTTGATTTTGTATCTTGCAAGTTTACTGAATTTGCTTATTCTAACAGTTTTTTGATGAAGTCTTTAGGGTTTTCTGTGTGTCACATAATGTCATCATCAAACATAGACAGTTTTACTCTTTCTTTCTGACTTGGATGCCTTTCATTTGTTGTTGCATTACTGTTCTGGCTAGAAGTTCCATATCATACTGAATAAAAGTGGTGAGAGTAGATTAGATATCCTTGAGTTGTTGCTGATCATGAAGGAAAACATTCAGCTGTTCTCCTTTAGGTATGACTTTAGCTGGGGGCTTGTGATATATGGCCATTATTTTCTTGAAGTACTTTTTCTCTACACTCAACTTCGTTGAGAGTTTGTATCATGAGAGGGTGTTGAATTTTGTTGAATGCATTTTTTGCATTTTTTAGATGACATTGTGACTTAAATCCTTTATTTTGTGAATGTTGTGTATCATATTGATTGGTTTTCAGGTATTAAACCATCCTTGCACCCCTGGAATAAATCCCACTTGATTATGGTGTATGATCCTGTTGTTGTATTGTTGAATTCAGCTTATTAACATTTTGTTGAGGATTTTTGCATCTCTGTTCTTCAGTGTATTGGCCTGTAATTATCTTTTATTGTGATACCCTGTCTGGTTTTGGTATCAGGATAGTGCTTGTCCCATAAAATGAGTTTGGAAGTGTTCCCACCTCTTCTAATTTTTGGAAGAATTTGAGACGATTGATATTCTTCTTTGACTGTTTGGTAGAATTTACCAGTGAAGTTGTCTGATCCAGGATTTTGTTTGTTGGAGGTTTTTTATTGCTGGTTATCTCCTTTCTATTAATTGGTCTGTTCAGATTTTCTTCATGATTTAGTTTGTATTTTTCTAGGAATATATCCATTTGCAATGTCAGTGGAGTATTAAAGTCCCCTATTATAATTGTATTGCTATTTCACCCTTTAGGTCTGTTAATATTTGCTTTTATATTAGGTGCTTCTATGTTGGGTGCATAAATATTTTAAAATGTTATATATCCTCTTATTATATTGATCTCTTTATCATTATGTAATAACCTTCTTTGTCCTTTATCTCTTATTATAATCTTTGTTTTATGTTCTGCTTTGTTTTATGTAAGTATTGCCATCCCAGCTTTCTTTTGGTTTCTATGAACATGAAACATCTTTTTCCATCCCTTTGTTTTCAGACTGTGTGTCTTTGTATATATAAGGAAGACTCTTGTAGGTAAGATATAGATGGCTTTTTTTTTTTAAATCCATTTAGCCACTGTCTGGTTTTTCTTTTTTTATTTTTCCAGAATTTTTATACTTTTTATTGATTTACACTTAATTATTGATGGGTATGGAGTTACTGCCATTTTATTTATTATTTTATAGCTGTTTTATAATTTTTTTTTCCTTTCTACTTCTCTTGCTCTCTTACTTTGTGATTTGATGATTTTCTATAGTGATAGTGTAAGATTCCTTTCTCTTTATCTTTTGCATACCGACTCTAGGTTTTTGGTCTATAGTTACCATAATTCTTATGTAAAACAATTTATATTTGTAATAATCTAAGTTGATAACAATCAAAAGCTCTACATTTTTACTTTCCCCTATTGATATTTTTGAAGTCACCATTGACATCATCTTAATCTTGCATGTTCATTAACAAATTATTATAGTTATAGTTATTTTTACTATTTGTTTTTTAACCTTCATACTAGCACTTCATATAAGTAATTAATCTATCATCTTTACAACATTATGTTTTTCTAAATTTTACTATATGTTTATTTTTACCAGTGAGATTTATACTTCTAATTTTTTTCCTGTTACTAATAGCACACTTTTGTTTCAGCTTAAAAAGTCCCTTTAACATTCTTGTAGGGTTGGCCTGTTGGTCATTACTCTTATGTTTTACTTTTCTGGAAAGCTGTATCTCTTTCAGTTCTGAAGGATAACTTTGCCATGTAGAGTAATTGGCTGTTTAATTATTTCTGTTACTTTAAATTTATCATGCCACTCTCTTCTACAACTTGTCTGCTGGAAAATATGCTGA